GCTATTTTTGTTCAACTATTTGCAATCAGAGCATATCCTGGACATTAAGTTCCACATACATTTCACTAGGAGACTAACACATGATGTTTCATATTACAGTAAAGGCATCTCCTATTGTATTTAGTCTACCAAATAGTTTTCACAGGCTCATATCCTGACAGCTTAATTTTCTCTGACAGCTTAATTCTAGACAGACAGAATTGTTTCCTTTTTCATACCTGGAAGCTGTTCAGTTGCCTTTGACTCAAAGTTTTCCAGCCCCTTGGGGGTGATAGGTAGTGTCCATATGTATAAGCATGAAAACTCTTTCTGAATCTAAATGAATCTTGAGTTGATCGGCCTTATATTTTAATCAACTATGCATGAGGTTTTCATCCTCTTTTTATTTTAGTATAAAGTTCAAGCCAATACATCAAAGTCTTAAAAGCTTCAGATGGCTTGTTGACTTTTCAAAGCAGCCATCCTGTATTCCTGATTAGAATATCCATTGGGGAAAAATCCTAGATTACAATGCAGAGCACAGGTGTCAAACTCGCTGCGCCAGGTTGCTGTCATGTGATGTTTCATGATGTTTTTCCCATTTGTGGGATGCATCTGGCCTGTGGGCTGCCAGTTTGACACCCCTGATGTAGAGTATTTCCCAGAGCCAGTCTAAANAGAAAGAAAGAAAGAAAGAAAGAAAGAAAGAAAGAAAGAAAGAAAGAAAGAAGAAAGAAAGAAAGAGGGCTGCTACCAAAAGTTCTCCAATTGCAGCCCAGTTTATGAAGAAAAGGCTCAACAATGAAATTAAAGGAAGGGACACATCTGTTACTCGTATCTGATATTCAACATATCTGATATTGAAGAAACTACATCAAGAAGCAATCTGGAGTGGTGAATCCAAGATACTTTGTCTTCAAGGGCATTTTGAGGAGGTAGGGAAAGGGTGCAGAGGAGAATCAGAATCTGCTTCCTTTTCTGAAGTTGAATTCAATTGTCAATTTGTAAAATGATCAGTTGATATGGATGCTATGATATATCTACCTACTTTTTAAAACTAGAATGCAAGTATCTTCTTATTATAAAATGTAATAACTTCTAGGCCAACTGGATTGTGCTTGTCAGTTGAAAGGTGTGCTGGAAACATAATTCTGAAAAATAGGCATCTTTCAGCATTGTTGAATGGATGCTATTGATTTCATTGTTATTTAAAAAATCAGAGAAAGATACCCTTTACTGCCCATTTTTAAATTAAAACCTAAAATATAAAATCTGATACAAAAATGCAACTTTTTTTATCACAAGGCACATTTATCATAAGCAGAGAAATCCAGCAGTGTTGAGATATTATTAGTTTAGTTATTTATTTGTTTTATTTATATAACTATAAATATATTTATATAGCCAAATATGAGTCTATTTGGAAACTGCCCTTTTCATTCCCAGAGTGACTCTGGGAAGTGTATAATTAAAATGTAAACAACCTGCTCCTATAAATATTGTATAAAGGAGACAATTAAAACAGAAATAAAATAATTAAAGTTAAAAAGAAATGGCGCTGACTCCATGGTTGCCTACTTCTATATGAGCACCAAGTAAGTTGGGTCTTCCAAAAGTCCAGTCAAGTGAGGCCCCACCTCATTTCTTGAAGTGGGATATTCCAAACGGCAAAGAGAATTAATCAGCATAACATTAGTGTGCATTCTTTGAAATCCTCTGATTTCATTGGAACATTGAGTTCAGTAATATATTAACCAGGGGTGGGTTCCTGCCAGTTCTAACCTCTTCTATAGAAGAGGTTCCACAAATCTACAGTTTAGAACTGGTTCCAGCCCCTCCCCCCCGCCCATCTGCACATCACCAAGATGAAGAGCAAGAGGAGGAATTCTGGGAGTTGAAGTCCACAAGTCTTAAAGCTGTCAAGTTTTAACACCCCTGGGGGTTATTTTTTCTAAAGGGTTAGGGATGCAAGGGTCTTGTAACCTAACAGCTTTAAGACTTGCGTGTTTCAAATGCCAGAGTTTCTGAGCCAACATTTTGGTTGCTAAGCAAGAGCATTGTTAAGTGAGTTTCACGACATTTTACAAGTTGCCCACCCCCCCCCAGCCACATGACTGCAAAGCCACTCCCACTCAGTCACATGGCTGGCAACCCACTCCCACCTGGTCACATGGCCAGCAAGCC